AGGATAAAATGAAATTTTCACTTAAAAAAACCAGAGATTACCTTACATTAAGTGAAAAGAAACATAGGCAAGAAGTGTTATTTTAGGTGGTGCCAAAACCACTACTCTTTTCATTTGTGGCATTCTCCATTTATGATGTCCACAAAGATTTGTTACCTTCTTGGTTTGCTGAACCACTAAACATTTTCCAGCAAACTAAACACTCGTGCCACATTACTAACAACCAAGATTCTCGAAAACAGCTCATGTTACAGATTTCCCTCTTGCCAGTGGGGTCTGAAGGTCTATGAAAGACCTTTTAAGCATATTTAAGCACCATAATTTTTAGGGTTTTGATGAATACAGTATTTTTTCTATATATAACTATGGGGGGGAAAAAATCCCAGACCGTGAAATTCACAGACTGAAAGATCATTTCTAAGTAACACTTACCCTAACTACCATAAAACCAGCTCAGACGAGTCCACACAGTGCTCACATTTCTATCCTTCACTTCCTGCCACTGCAACATTCAAAATTTCATACCAAACACAAACCTACTGTTCTTTTTCTTCCAATATTTCATCATTACAGCTCCAAGAATCACCAGCCTTGCTACTGCTTACAAACAAGAGCATGAAACTTATTTCCCCAAACCACACATAAGCCAAAGATTCAAAACATTCACCCCAGACACATGATTCTTCATGAAAGTGGTATTTCCCAGGACTAACAGCAAGAAATGGCAAAACAGCTCCCAGTCACACGTCCAAAACATATCTCTACATAACATGACCTACAAAACTTCTTGCTACCAGCTCAGCAGCTCTGTATCCACTGCTTCTTGGAAAACCTGTGCAGGTCAGTGCTACTAACTCTAAATTACCTTCCTGCTAAAATTCAAGCCTTCTAACCTCTGACAAAGACTCCACGCCACTCAGAAAATCTGATCGTTTGTATTTGGAAAGAGGATGGGGCCACAGTCACCACTCAAACTTTGTAGGAACAAAATGGAATCTCTCAGTGTAGTAAAATTACATTTAAGGAGAAAAAGATTGAAATCTATAATTTCTAATCTGTAAGGCTTTCCTGTAATAAGGCTGTAACTTGATATTATGGAGGACTCTGAGAAAAGACTGGATAAATAACCAGTCCATTTCTAATTTACAACAATGAATTTGCATAGAAAATTATGGAGGGATATGTGGGTATTACATTATAGCCCCATTAAGTATCCTTTAACTTCAACTGGCAATGCAATAGAAATGCAACAGAAAACAAATTCTCACCCATGGGTAATTACAATCTCCCTGCTTAAATTCCCAATCCCTTCTTTTCCTACAGCAATATTCACTTTTCTGTGTTTCTCAGACACGAGGGATTGCTTCTGTTGGAAGCCTCATGTTGCAAACATTCGTGTGAAGAGAAAAGCTCAGTAAGCACGACTGTTCTGGAATAAGGAACCTGAGTCACATATCAGTGTCACCATCATGAAATCCCCAGAAGCTGGCCTGTTCCTGTGGAGCAGCCTCTGACCTTGCAGACTCCAAATTTCCCTGTCTGTGAAGTTTAGCTATTTTCTCCCACCCCAAAACATTTGGGGATAACAAATGTTTATTTTCCCAGTCAAATCTCCAGAAGACCAAAAGAAGATCAAACATTCCTTCAGGTTTCTTTTTAATTCCATATCAATGCTGTGTGGAAACTTTTGAAAAAACAGTCTCTTTTACAACATTCTCTCTTCCGTGTTGAAAAAGAATGGCAACCACAGAAGTCTGCACTAAGGGGAGGAGGAAATCCAACACATAAAGTACCATGTCCCTAAATATATGTCATTGATACATAGAAACACAAATGCTGCCTTGCTGCCAAAGGCCACAGAAGAGATAGCAAGACAAACAAGAATGAAAAGGGAAGGTCTTGTTTGTCCTGAAAATCTAACTCACAATCCTTCCATTTATGGCGGGAAAAACACATGTACCACATAGTGAAAATGAGATTTTGCCACAGCATCTCAGCAAAAGAAGTGAGAAAGGATTCAAGAGCTGCAATATGAGCAGGAGGGAGGGCTGGGATTACAAAATTTGGAATTTTCCCCACCATGATGAGCCACTGGCAGTGTTGCAGACAGGAACACTGGGGATCTGCTTCCTTCCAGGAAGAAAGCTTCAGCAATGCCAGGAGAAACGTCAGGACAGGACTGAGGCTGCTGGGATTCCAGGCCTGCTGATCCCCCAGGCAGGGGAATTCCAGCTGTCCAAGCACTCTCTCCCTGAGCTGGAGCAGTGGCACACCATCCTTCCTCCTCCCACGACTTTCCCTAGTTACTCAGGCTGTACACAGGGGATGCATTTAAATTCATTCCAAAGACTTTTTTAATTTAGGTTTCACTCCTGCTCCCAGACCTGTGAGGTCCCACTGACCTCAGGAGGGGATGCCACTGAGGTGAGAGATTCAAGGCCTTTAATAACCTGAATTGCTCCAGCAATTGTTTCTGCCACTACTAAAATGAAAACACCAAGAATAATGTTCAGTAGCAAATATAAGATGGTAGTAAATAACAAATAAAAAGAGAAACAAACCAATACCCTGAAATTCAGAAAAAATATCCAGCTATAAATGCAAAGGGGATTTTACTAAAAAAAATAATTGCCAACAACGGAGAAAATATTTCATCAGACTATTAAATTAACAGAGTTGGAAAACTCTGCAAAATCAGCAATATTATTGCCCAGCTCCTGCCTGGGCTCTTTCATCCACAGGCGTCAGGACTCCTTACAAGTCAGTAAGATTCACCATCCCTATTTTAAATTCCTCCAAAAGGAAGCACAAACAGGTGAAGTGATTTGCATCAGGCTCTCCACATCTCTCAAGCACTAGACCTGTACCTCACCCACCTGGGAATATCCCCTCTTAAAGCTTTCCAGGCACTCTGACTTACATCTTTGGAGATGAGAATTCCTCCTCGAATCCAGCTTTGAGCAGAAGCTCTCTGCAAACCACAGCCCTTCTTCTACAACCACATCTACTCACACTGATGCCAAAGCCCAGGAGGAACTTCTGTGAAACCAGTGAGATTTCACAAAGGAAAAGGATCCTCCACAGCACATCAAGAAGCAGAACTGGGACAAATTAGGGAATAAGATGCTGCTTCCACATCTCCCTTTAAGTTTTAGTCTGATGGGAAGAGGTAAAAACAAGCCCCCAAACAAGCAAACAAAAAAAATCCCAAAATAGACTAAAAAAACCCAAAAAATAAGCTATTACAACCTTTCAAGTCTTTAAGCCATGACTTTAACAAGACTCTACCACAGAAAAGTTCATCTGGCTCACCTAAAAAGGCATAGTGCCTGTATGATTTAAAAGAGGGAAAATACACACTGTACATTTCATAAGTCCAAAAAAATCATAGAGGTGAAGAGTGATAAAGGAAATGTCATTTCAGCTAGGAAAAATAAAGAAGTAATTTCTGCTTTCAGAATAAATTACAAAGAGAACTCAATTTATCAGTAATAACACATAAAATGTTCCTTCACTTACCAATAAAGAAAAACTGCTCTGCTAATTAAAGTTCAACAAAAAAAAGCTTAACTCAGCTTCTGCCACTTACAATTTCTGCACTGTAAAAGCCAAGCCTAGCAAAGTCTGATTCCCTGGGTTTGCACCCCAAGGAGGTGGAGGGAATGTGGTGGACCCTCATACACTTTCCCCTCCTCTAAATTTGAACTGAATGTTCAAAATCAGCTCCTCCCTACAGACCTGCCCAGCACCCCCAGACTGTCCCCATCACAAAAGCTTTGCCATTAAAAAAAAAAAAAAGAAAAAAAAAGAAAAAGAAAAGGGGAGTTTTCATTCACAATCTGCTATGGTTCAAAAGCACTGAAACAACCCAATTTAACACACATCATTTTAAAGCTTCCCTGATCTACCTATCAGTCTTGGAAAATAATGCAAACCTGCCAAGTATCACTTGCATTTTTTTTTATTTTTTATAAAGGAACATGTATTTTCTTATATAAAGAATGGCAGGTGGTGTGTTTTGTCCTTTGCCTTGCTTCAATTACACTAATTATTAAGAACAACAACATTAGACGATGTCAACAGTCCAAACCATCCCAACAGGACCAGCCATGGTGACACACTCAATCTGTCAATGGGGATATCCATTTTCAGGGTATTTTTCTGTCTCACAACTGAATTCTTTTGTTTTTTTCAATGAAAATTGAAATGTGTTATTTTAAAACTTCCTCTCAAGCTCCCCGTACCTTTGATAATGCAAAAATTCTATTACCTTGTTAACTCTTACTCATTTTGTCATTAACTGGGAAGCAGCCCTGCAACTGTTTCCCCGCAGTTATTTCTTCATTTCCATCAATGAGATGTTTAATCGTGTTACCCTAATCGAACAACAATTGCCTAACAAAGCGCTGGAGCCAAAACAACTGCACTGCTCTTGAAATTAAGAGAAGGACCGCAGGAAGGGCACCACAGATCCTTCTCCTGCCTGGGGACGTGCCCCAAAAATACCCATGGCAGTGGCTGCTGGAAGGGCTGTGTTGCAACGTGCAGTGGAAACTCTCCTGGTTTTAGTTTCAGAGCTGATCCAGGGTACAAAAGCTGCTCTCAGGACCTGTCTTAAACCTCCCAACTTCACTTGGCTCTCCCTGCCAAAGCCTCCTGCAGAAAACAAAAACATAAGCTCATCTGCCCACCCTGCAACCGCTCCGAGGGGGTAATTTTACAACAGCTGTTAAATTCTTCCAATTTATTTTTCCATCGCTCCACCAACCCTACCTACCCCATTTTATTTTTCCCCACTTCTATTTCACCATTGTTATTTTCCGGCCGTCTCTCCCATCCCCTCCCGCCCCGCCCGGTACAAAAACAAAGCTGCCTCCCACCCCCCCTGCATCCCCCCCGGAGCCCCCCCGGCGGTCCGCCGAGGGCGCGGCGGGGCCGCGGGCGGCCGGTGCGGGCCGCGCTCGGTGCCCGCGGGGGCGGTCGGGGAAGTCCCGACTTACCTGTCATTACTTTCTACGCCATCTTGGATCCACTTGTCAACGTCCCACAAAGCATTGTGGGAAAGGCCGGCCCTCCCCGCGGCCCGGAAGGCGGAGGGCGGCGGTGTGAGGGGACGGGACGGGACCGGGACGGAACGGCGGTGGGGACGGGGTCGCGGTCCGGCACAGGGCATGAGGACGAGGACCGGGATCCGCTCTCCCCTCAGCCCGGCGGCCGCTGAAGCGCAGCCCGGGGTCCCATCACGGAACAGCGTCTGGGGCCACCTCCGCTCCGCCCGCGCTAGAAACGGGCAGCTTCGGGGGGTTTCCGTGCTCTCTTTATTTTTTTTTTCTCTCTCTCTTTTTTTTTTTCCTCCCGTTCTCTTCCCTGGGCCCGGAGCGCAGCTGCGGAGCCCGAGGGTCGCTGCCGGGGCCGGCAGGCGGGGGTCCGGCCAGAGCCCACCCCTGAAAAAAGCTGGAAAAGTACTTTTTCTCATGGTTTTTCTACGGCGTAAGTTGGATTTTTTATTTTTTTTCTATTTGTTTTGGGGTTTTTTTGGGGAGTTTTTTTTGTTTTGGGGTTTTTTTGTTTTTTGTGGTTTTTTTTGTTGTTGTTGTTGTTGTTGGGGGTTTTTTGTGTTTTTTTTTTAATTATTTTCCTGTGTCTTTCAAAGTTCCTTCCCTGGAAGCAGCTCGGGGCGGCCGCTGCGGTGCCGGGGCCGCCGCAGGTGCGGGAGCAGCTCAGGCTGCCTCTGTTTCCAGAGCCCGTGCTGAAGGACTGCTGCTAACGCGCTGCTGGCTGCTCATGAATCCCAGAAACTGCTTTGCATAACAGTTTTATTTTCATGCAGTAATCTTCCCTGTTAGCTGTGTTTTCGGACTCTTTGGCAATCAGTTCTTAATACCTGCGCTGTTTTGCAAACTGGCTTTTTCAAGGCGTTACCGGCTTTGCTGCCGTGGATGGGTGCCCTGTGCTCTGCATAGGCTGTTGTGCTTTAGGGCAAAGTGGACAAGAAACTGGGGAAAAGCAGTTTACTCCTGGATCTTAGGAAAGTTTACCACCAAAACAGGATTCCAGTGTTTTTAAAAAACTTTTCCTTCCCCTTGAATTGAAATAAGATCCAGATCACTTTAGTATTGGATCTTGCTGTAAAATCTATTTACATTTATATTTAAATTTACGTCTAATGCCTCGTAACTCTTTGAAGAATAACCACCAGCCAAGCCTCTGATGCACTGCCACTGCAAGAAAATACTTGTGCCCAAGAAGGTTTTCAATATTCATCAGTAATGCATTTATAAAGAGAGAGAGCTCCTTGCAACAATGTAAATACAGGAGGAAATAAATCTAAATAAATCCTTTGCATTTGCCACCCAGTCTACTTTTTAATTCAGCTTCATAACTAGCTGGGAGTGCAGTTGTGCTGTCACAGAGACAAGTGTGGGTGGTCCCAGCCCCAACGCAGGAGATGCCATTTCAGGATAAAACCCTCCTGTGGAACTTGCCACAGGCCATCTCTGTGCCAGCCTGACACCTTCCCTAGTGCTGTGACTTGTGTTTTCCATGGCCACTGTGCAAGGAACAGGGATCAAAGAACATTGAACTCATGTTTAGGACCCAACTAACTTTGTGTCATTCAGTCCAGGTTGCTGAAATGGAGTAAGTCCTTTTATTTTGAGGCTGGTTGTCTTTGGTTTCTAGTGAGCTTTATCTTACTGGCCATTTTTTTCTGTTAGAAAATGTAAAGGTTTTCTTCAAAATAAATGACAATTAGAGCAGTGGAAGATAGAATTATCAATGTATGCATATTTTTAGATATAAACACATATCCTTTGAAGTTCAATTTGGAGAAGACAGAAATTTAGTTGGGTTTATTTTTCACATAAGCTTTTTTTGAGTCCATTTTTTCTGGCAGTATTTTTTTTTATAATGTGGGAAGAAAAAAATTGTGTGGTGCCTGAGTTACTGGAGGATCTGTTCAGTGACAGACCCCATTGTTATCACTCTCTGTCTCTGCTGATTTCAAGTTCCAGACTGGGTGTACCAAGAGGCACAGGCTGCTGTGAAAAGGTGGCAACTCTGCCCTGCAGGAACAGCCCAGAAAGGAGCAGGGGAATCCCAATGGATAAAACACAACACGGAGACATGCCTTTGCACCCACTGCTTTTAATGATCTTGGTACTTTAACCCTTTTAGCCTCAACATGAAGGAGGTTTGAGTCTATTTTGTGGACTGGTTAAGTGTATTGCACAAGCCCTCAGTGGAGGGGCCAGAGGCTGCACAGGGAGCCAGCAGCTCTGGGATGGGGGTGGCTGCCAAGCACAGCCTGCAAGCTTGGAACAGCTCTCCTGTTTCCATGTGCTGTCCCCTCCAAGCTCTTCCAAGGTCCTTGTTACCAGATAGAAAGATGAAGACTTTCAAAATTTGGTCCAAAACAAATGGGGCTCCAAGAGCTCATGAACCTTGGAAATTCTGCTCAAGGTGAGAATCATAGCAACTAGCTTAAGGGATGAGATCCCAAATGCAAACAGCCTAAAAAAAACTAAACTTTACTTTAGAGCCACTCCTGTGGTAACATCCCAGGAGGCAGAGAATGGCCCAGGAACTGGATACAGATTACCTGGGAAGAAAGAGACTTCTTATAGCTTTCACTGGCATGGTTCAATACAGTATTAAACAAAATTAAATTAAAATAAAATTATTATATATCTTATTATTGTAAGATTATTATATTCCTACTACTGTGAGAGGAACTCGGTGTCTATCTATATGAGACATCTCTTTCTCTTTCCTTGATGTGCATTGCCCCAGTGGAAGCTGCAATTTTCAGCCAAATTCAGATCCTCAAAAGCCTAACAGTGATATTTCTAGGGACTCATGATAATGATAACATTTTCAAAAACCCTTCAATGTATGCAGCAATATCAAACTCAATTCCACCTGTACGTTTTTTAGGATTTTGAAATCTTTCAGGTCTGAAAACAGCAATTTCTTACTGGATGTTTAGAAAGCCCACCCTGCCAGGGACCATGTGTGCAAGGAACCCCTGCACAGAGCCCTAACACATCGAGTCTCCCTACTCTTCAGTCAGGATTCTGTAAACGATGCTGGCTCACAGGGCTTCCCCCTGTTCTGTGAAGCTAGGAGCCATGCCCTGATCCTTGGAGAATCCAGGCTCCTTGCCAAAAACCAGGGGTTTGAAAACCTGGGGCCACTCAGAGCTGCCAGGCTCCCTGCCATGAGGCAGAGATCTGAGCAGAGCTCTGAAAGGTGTGGCAGATTCTGGCACAGTTGGGAACTCTCAAACCCTCACTTGCTCCAGGCCTAATGGAGACTGGGTAGCCAAAAAGCCCTGGAGTTTGACTCACCCATGAGCTGCACACTTGGAATCACAACTGCAGCTTGGTTTCTATATTTTCAAAATAAAACTATTCTAATTATTTGAAACATACTGCTACTTTTTTCTTTCTCTTCTGCTTTCACAGGAAATTCAGAAAATCAATTTCCATTCTATGCTCAAGTTCACTCCCCTTTCTGGGAACTGGTATTTCATGAAGACAGAAATCTCCATTTTCAGTCAGCTCCACTCATGAAGTCTAACCAGAATGCAGGAAAAGCCATTACAATTAACATGTAAGAGTAATAAGGACATAATAGAATACATTCAGCAGGGAATTGCCTCGCTGACCCTGCAGCCCAACATCCCAGCAGGCTTCTCAAACAGTTCCTTCACCCCTGAGCAACAAAACAACAGGAGGCCTTTCTCAATGGAAGTGCCAGACAGATTGCAGCAACAGGAGCAATGTTTTTATTGTCTTAGCACACTGGACCTTTACAAATTTTTGAACTCCCTCGGAAGCAGCAATCATGGGAAAGTAACAGAAGTTAAGTGGTTTAGCCTCTGCCACAAACAAGGCAGTGGTAGACCTGGGATTAGATAGCAACAGTAGTTCTTAGTCTTGGTAAACAATAAAGAAACTCTTTCTAAGCAGCCATTAATGTCTGGTTATTAGGCTGAAGAGTAGCAAGTTTTGATTTTCCAGCATTAAAATTCCCCTGGAATTCCTCCAGAGTCCTCTAATGAACAGATGATCTCAACTTTAATCTTACTTCATAATTATCCATGGGTAACATTTCAACATGGACTCCTTAAGCACATGTAATTTCTAGAGCAAGTAATATTCAAACTAATTCATTTCTCCTTTGATGCACAAGATGAGAGCACTGAGAAGCAACCAGCAACAAGGGGATGTTGAGGGTACACTGAGGAGACAGAAACTACAAAGGTCAGAGTAAATGCAATGGTTTCATCCCACACTGTCAAGATCTTTGATCTTCAGTCTCTGTTCATTTTTTTAAGAAGCTGGCATGTCTTTATGCTGACCTTTGAATTGCTCATGAAGGACTCAAATCTGACATATATCTGCATTCTTGAGATGAACTTGCACCAAAAATTTAGAGCTTTTTTCCTAGCAACCTGGATATGACAACCTTTTTGAGACAGACTTGAGAGACACTTCCATTTTCACCAATAGTAGTCTGTAAGAAAAAAAAAAAAAAAACAAGAAAAAAAAAACCCCCCAAACCCAAACTTCAGGCTTCACAGATTCTTTTCCACTCACTTGGAGTTGCCCTATAGCTTAATAATTCTAGAGGTTTGTTTCAAAACTTCTATTTTAACTTTGTGATGTTTGGAGAGGGATACCCTGAGGGATTCTTGCTTCTGGCAACAAGTACTCAGAACACAGCAGAAGTCTCACTCTGAGGACAGGAGGGAGTCTGCCTTGGGCACTGTGTTCCAAACCAGGACTAAGGTGTTCCAACTGCAAACAAAAATCTCTTTCAGATCCAAAGGCAGAGAGCTTGATCACTGTGGATCTTTGGCACAAATACAGACAATGGAAGTGAACCTTCATAATCTTTCTGAACTGACTTTTAAGGAGATACCTGAGCTGTTGAAAGATAAGAGTTCTTCCATGTTCTTTCTAATGCTGACAGTAAAGGTGGTTGTGAGGGGAGAGAAACCACTTCCCCTCTCCAACAAACTCATGCTGTAAATGAGCCAAAGGCAGCAGGGAGAGATAGAGCCTGGACAGAGAGGGAGAAGAATCTGCAAGACATCCAGAAAGAAGAGCCAGGGAACCACTGAAACATTCCACTTGAGGATAAAAAGGAAAAGAGGGCTGGCTGGGAAAATGGGTCCAACATAACTGGTAGATGCATCAGAGGCTTAAATGCTTGGGGTTGAAGATTCCAGACCAGACTTCAACTGGAAGGAAAATGTTTATGATAAGAACAGGGAGAGGCAAGTTCCCACTTCCCCTGATGACCCATTGTTCCCCTCTCTGATAGCTCTTGCCTCAGTTTCCAGATGATATATTGTTTTCCAAGCTACTTTGTCCATTGTTCTGACAGCAGCCAGGTTTTGTTCATGCTACTGAAACCTCCCAATGCTCAGAAACAGTCATGACAAATTTTAAACAACTTGTACAGCTGGGATTATAATACAATTTAGGAAGTTAGATGGTAAACATTCTGTGCATTCTGAATACCTGCTCCTCTTCCTTCCCTTACTGATAGTTCAGCTGCCTTTTTATTGTTCAAATGCAGTGAGCTGGATTGGTAGAGGCTTTGAAAGTTCTGAGCCTTCCAAATTACATTCCCAAACTTCCCATCAGCTATGTCCAAAGTCAGCATTTCAAATGCAAATCACTGTTTACAAGTTTCCTGTCCCTTCAGACTTCCCTCTCTCAAAATCCCTGTCTGGAGCTTCCCAGTTTCTCTGTATTGACATTTATTAGCCTGAATGCAGCTCAGTGTGCTTGTAAAGAGATGGGATTTATGTATGTCTCAATACATCATTTACAATGGCAGTCTCTACTTAATTAATTATGATCTGAATGGTTATGGCTAGCATTAAAAATCATTCTAAACCAGAGCAAAATCAATAAAAGTTCAATTGACTCTTACTACACTATTTGTTCTACTACTTTACTTCCTTAAAAACACAAACCAGGGGGGAAAGTCCACAGCTTCCCTCCATTACAAGGAGGTTAAAGTAAATAATAGAACATTATCTGCTCAGAATATAACACACTCATGAGAAGCAACAGCCTCCAAGTACCAGCTTAGCTAACTGATTATTGCCATTGTAGCCCTTACAAACTGTACCAACAAAACAGGCAAAATTAGTGACTTGCAGCAAACAGACAAAGGTTTGGTACTTACTCATGTATTGATTGATCTGGCAGTTCACAATTAATTAATAAATGCTAACTGTAGTACCAAATCATAAGAAACAGCATTATTCTTAAGCATAAACATAATTTTGTTCAAAGAGTATCTTGACATAACTTTACACTATTACCTCTTTGTAAAACCCTAGGATTTTATTATTTACAGCATATCCTCTCAATCACAGCCTCAAAAATAGTCCTGTAATGAAATAACCACAGAACTGTATGTTAGACACAAAAGGGTTCACATTGGAAAAAAGAAATCACAAGACTATTATTATACAGGCAATACAGTTTTATTCTGTTCTTTCACCAATTGTAGCAAAAACATTTAACAACTGAATGAATAATCAAGGGAACTTAATTGTCAACAGGAATTTCAGAATTATGTTCTAAATTTTAGACCAGGAAGGCTTGACAGGGAGAAAACAAACCATATACACACTTGTAATAATAGTCTCTATTATGAAGATTTAATGCCTTCTTTAAAAGCACTGAGATTATTGAGGCACCTTACTGCAGGTTATGGATCATCTCTTCTTTGGCAATGAGATGTGTGGTTTTGTTAACTAGGGCCATGAGGGAGTTGAGCTTGTGAGACCAGTCATTGAGTATATTGTTTGGGTCCTTAGGCCTCTGGAAATTGATAATTCCTGCCAGCCTGTCTACTTTAGCAAAGATGGTTTTATTAACTACTAGGTTAGACAAGAACTCCTCCGATTCCTGCAAAGACAAACAGCACTTAGTCAAGAAAATAGCATTTTTACTACAAACCACCAGAATTCCTCCCAAGCAGCATGAAAGCACCAGGAACAAGATTTTCTTTATACAGGAGTACATCTGTAACAACATTGTACTTTAAAAAATGCAGGATACTTTAATATTACACATGCTGGCAATGCAAGGTAAAAAAAAAAAAAAAACAACCAAACCTTTTTGTTTTCTGTTGACCTGTATCTGAATATCGTTCTTAAAATTAATGTTTAATATACAACCCCAACAGACTTTTACACTTTGGAGTACTCGGCTACACAGATACCAGAACAAATCATGTGGCAAGCAAGGCTTGGGAAAACCCCAGTGAATTACTGACCACTGTCAAAAAGGGTTTTTACTGAGTTTGTGGCAAAAGCAGATTCCATGAAAAGGGTAAAGCTTTTCATTTGCATTCAAAATACCAGGATGTGTCATTCTACTTGGAAAGCTCTTGAAAACACAAAGGGGGATGGCAGGCAGACCCCTCCAGCCCATGTTCCAAAGTGCCACCACCCATGAACAAGGACAGTTACAGGTGAAGGACCCTCTCTTCAGCTGGTTTTCATCACCCACTGACAAGAACTTTTAACACTGAAACACCAGACAAGAAGCTCCAGCATTTACACGAGGTCTTGAACATAAATGAACTTCTCAGAGCAGCTTTTGCCTTATGGGCATGTGCACCATGAAACTGAGTTTAAGGTTTAATGAACAGTTTTCTAACTCCCATAAAGGCAGAAAATTAAATCAAACAAGAACATCACTCTGCTGAATACTCACATCTCTGCCAGAAACACAGCCCCCCTTAGGAAAGAAGGATAAACAAAGCAAGACTTACATCAACAGACAGATCCAGGAGTTGTGCCATTCTCTTCATTGTAATTCTGGTATAATACTTAGCCATTATTCTAATATTCTGGAATAAAAGTGTTCAGAGTAGAGGGTTATGTGCAAAAAATAATTGAAGCAGGCTGCAAAAATATAAAAGTCCATGTTAAAAGGAGATTAGGAACTGTAGTGCTCTAATGGCAGTCCAGCATGGGGGATGTGAGGGGCTCTGAACAAACAGCTCTTTTGCTGGTGGAAGGTATAAAAGTCTCTACATGATAAATTATTAAGAAAAGAAATCAACCAATTATGACTTTAATGCAAAGAAAGACTTTCAGATTTATGCTTTATTGAAACAGGAGTGCTAAATCTCATTTGAGTGCAATATGCTCTTTTTGGTGGCAACTATGCCAAATATAAACATACAATAAAGATATACAAGCAAATAAAATCTTGAAATGCAACACGAAAGACATTACCTGCTGCTTCATTAGCTACTTTTTTGTCTTCTTTGTGATTAAAATACAGCAAGCAGAAAGCATTTTTAGCTGAGGCACTGAGTAAACAGCTGATGTTTACAGACACTGATACTTACATGTTCCACAACTCTGTTCTTTAAATCTTTCCATCTCTTTTCACCTTCCTCTGTACAGCCAAAAACATCTGTTGCAGGACTGTCAAGGGATCCTTCTCTCAACTCCTTCCCATATTCTTCAACTAGGGCACTCCACCTCATCAGCTCCATGGTGGTAAATAGTTTTAGGAGGTCTCTAAATGGTTTAGTACATTTGGATTACAATCCTGTATTAATAAGGCCTGGTTCATACTTAAAATAGATCAAAAGCATAATTTTAAATGTTTTAGTCTTATTACCATAAATAATGGGGGCAGCTTAAGTCAGACTGTTTTTCTAACAAAGATCTTTTTTTTTACAAGAGAAAGAACATTTCTTTTTACATACATTTAGTTACATTCATTTTCACATAGAACAACCATGACATTTTTGCAGTATTCTTAATGTAGCATTAAATTCAGAGTTGCTTACAGCAGACTTAGCATAAAGAGATTTACTGTTAGAGAGAGACACTTTTTAATCTAAGAATTGGTTATTAGAAAGGATACTTACTTATACTTGGGGATTTCTTCTAGCTTTTTGTCACTACTAATTCTGTGCACCAAGTCAGACTGTTCATTGTCATAAGGTGAAAGAATAACATAAAGAACAACGCTCTTCAGTGCCTGTTTAAGAGGAAAGAGGGTGGTTTTTTTCCCATAATTAAACAGAGGAATTGCCAAAACTGATAGAGCTTAGAGTTTAAAATGTAGAAGATTTAAGCTCAGTATATTAAGAAATTAAGAGTGAAATTGATGTTATCTTTCAGAAATGAACTGTGGTACGTTTAAATTGACACAGGTTAACCAAAATTCTAGTATTTCAAATAAATACACAAAGAAAAATACTATTCAGACATGAAAGACATCTGTACTGCACACACAACAGTACACAGCTGTTTGTAATCTCTACACTTGTATGAAACAGTTCAGACATTGTCAGTTTCAAAGGTAATAAAATGAAGATGTTGATTACAAACATTCTTTTGAAATCAACTCTATCATCTGTTTTCAACTAACCAATTTGTTAATACAGCCATTTAAATAAAAACAGACTGATGGGCTATTTCAACCACTGTACACTGATGTGGAAAGAAATAGGTATTTGTCACATGGAAATACAGTCAATTTGCAGGGAAAGTTTTTTTACCTGTTGCCACTTTTCACTTTCAGCCTGGATACAGGGAGTGTCATAAATGGCTCTGTAGTGCTTACAGATGGAGAGGTAGGAGCCTTCATGTTGATCCAGCTGGATCATTAAGTTGTAGTATTTCAACTTTAGTTTCTGAAACAGTATCAAGAAGTCAAATTAACACAGCTCCATGACAGGTAAATAAAATTCAGCTGAACCCCAGCAAACAGAGGGATTTAAATAAATACCCTTGGACCTGAAGAGAGGCAAGTCAGGTTAAAATTTGGGTGGAGGGAGGGAGAAAAGAGTGAGAAATCCTCCAATTACTTACTTCTGTGTTTTCTTCTTGAAAAAATTTTGTATTAATTTTTTTGCTGATAATTTGAGTCCGAATATAGTCTTTTACAGCTAGACAGAGTCTCATCTGCTCCAAGATAAATTCTACACGTTCTTTCTTTTCCATTGAACCATAGGTTTCCACCTGAAATGAAATTGTAACTACTTAATATTGTCAAAGCCAAATCAAGTGAAGGCTTAACTGCGCCAGAAGAGTGGGAGGCTGTCTGGAGGAGGAACACACCAAAACAAAACAACAGAAGAAAAGCTATTACAGAGCAAGTGAAAATGGAATAAAGGTTATTCCATTTTGATTATCACCCCACTTACACCAAAGAATCCCCCAACACTAAACTCAATGTACTAGGTAGAGAAGTGAAATCTACTTTCCAAGTGGAAGATATTCCATGTAACCCGACCATGAGATTAACAAAAGCAGTTCAAGCTGAGCTGCACTTTCACTAATAACAGTTCATCTCAATCCAGGCATTTCTGCAGGCATACCTGATTGAGTTTCTAACAGCCAGAACTAATCCAGAACTAACTGCTATTGCTGATGCAATTCTGAGTTCTGAGGTGTTACCTGCAACTCCTGCAGAATCGAGGCAGCCTCTTTCACCTCCCCGTTCTGCTCCTTTATTGTTGCAAGTGTCTTTGTCAGGCGAGCGCGTTCGATCTCCACGTATATCTGAGGGCAGAAGGAAGAGTTTAAACATTGGAATTCTCTAAAGAGGAGAGCAAACTCTGAGACTGCAACCCCCCTGGGAAATACACTTGATGCTGTCATCACAGAACCACTTTATTTGTTGTGTATCCATCCACTACACTGGCACTGTCCACAATATACACTGATGAAATACAATGGATAAGTGACACAAACATTTTTTGGCCCAAATTAATCTAAAAAATAATGTCTACACTGACCTATGATTCTTTCAGCAAACACAGGGGATATGCACTGTGAATAAAGTATTGCATATTTTGTCTGCTGGAATATATCAAAATATCTGGGAAGTTAAGATTTTAATGGTAAATGCATAGTAAGCACTACCCTTTGAATTATTTCACTTACTCCTAACCAGCCATTAATCAACAAGACTTGATCGTTAACCATTTAGACTAACAGACAGAAGTCATAAAATTAACACAAATTTGCCTAAATCAGAATTCTTTCTTTTCTTAAAGCAAAAGGAACACAATACAAGTAACTCACTTGACATCAATTTCTGATTATCATAACTATATGTTTCTCCTTGCTACGTGTAGAAGAAATTAAATTAAACCTGCCCCTTTCCCTAACAAATTCAAATACATAACATTTTAAAAAGTGAAAAGGAAATGGCATTTTAGAATTCAGAAATGTATTACTAACTATATTAATTAATAACACAACCAGATACCTACATCATAGGAACATAACCAGTGCATCAGCATATGATTTAAATATGGAAAATATCTGCAGTCTTTTGGAAGGAAACAAACTACTTGGCTTCTCAGGATAATTTAAAAATTAGTTTTAATCTTACTTGTACACGATTAAAAAATAATACTAAAAAACTACATTTTTAAAGAAGGCAAACATTTTTATTCCACCTTTTAGACACGGAGTCTTAAACAAAACCTTACCTTTCCTTCTGTGACCATACGCAACGTGTCGATCAAGCGCAGTTTGACTGGCAAGTCTGTGATTTCTTCAACGTAAGTGCAGCACTGCTGGACCATTTTAGCAACTGCCTAGTATGAAAACAAGAGGGGAAAAACATACTGTGCTTTTAGATTTCCCTGAAGAAGTCAAGCTGTAACACTCAGAGGTAATTAATAAATAGTTTCACATGACACTGCAGAGACTCATTTAGCAA